AAGAGATTAATAATGAGATAACCCATAATTTGATGAAATTATATTTGGTTATCTCTATTTAAACACTTTTCTAAAAGGATTTTTCACTAAAAATAATTTTTTTTACTTATAAAACTACTGATAATGAGCTACTTTTATTACTGTTAGATATTTCTGAGTAGTATATGTGAGAAAACAACTATTTAAAACTGTGTTTGACGACAAATGAAGGGTTTTGTCATTTGTAATTTTAGAAGGCTCAGGCAAACCATAAATATAATGAGTAATCGTTAAAAAATATTTACGAACCTGTATGATAAGTGACTCTTTGGATCATTCAATAACTACAAAAAATAAGGCCTGGAAACCTGAGTTAGTACTTGAACCACAGATCAAAGCCATAAGAAGTGTAACTATTAATCTTGTCGTCACTCATTAGGCTGGTTGAGTGTCTTTTTAAGTATAATCGATTTCTACCAGATAATATCAGCCTACAACTTCATTGTTATACAGAATGATTGCTTTTCACAAGAGAATTATTTGGTCTCTCTGTATTTTCCTTTATCAATGTTTGATTAACCTGAGCTGAAAAAAATCGGATTATAATGATTAGGTTTAGTCACAAGCTTAATTTGAATATCAGTCTTAATTCCAAGGAAACAGTCGTAAAGTCAAAACAAGAATAAAAAGTGGTCTTTAGTCTTGAAGCAATATATACAGATGAATTGTACTTGAGCTACTAACATTAGAATAAGTAGCTAAGTTGGTTTTGAATACAAATATAACAGACAACTAGAACTGTACTTCTTGTGGTCTGGGAAAATATATCAAACCTTGAGCATTCAAAATAATCATAAAGCAAACTGTTCGTTTGACAAACATAAGTATGAATGGAAAGAAGTTTTATTACTGTAAGTCCTTTAATGAAATCTCAAATAGTTCGTGTGCAAGATAACATATATCAGTAACAGTTCAAGGGTTAGTTCACCAGTTTATTGTGTAATTTCTGAGTACAATTTACGTTTTATGACTTTTGAACCTTGTACAAGCGTATACTAAAGTACCCAGTCCAACAACAACCATACCACGTTCAATTTATGTACATATATCATATGTATATATATGAGGAGTAGTTTTGATATTGTAGCTGTAAATAAATCCCCAAAACAAATAGCTCTCTAAGCTTTCGACATTGGACGCTGACCACAGTAGTTTTAATGAACTCACCTAGCTGAAAGCGCTCGGTCATGCATCCACACCAGATCACGAGTGTGAACGCCGTGCTCAACAACCCCTGCAATCGTTAGCCAGATTAGATCAGACGATCTTCGATATATTGATAGCTTATTAAATGTATCCTCGAACCTCCTCACTTCTGTCTTTTGATTTCACTTAGTGGGTACGCTCCATATTAGGTGTTACTGGTTAAAACGTTATCGAACTCCGAATACCTGTGGCATCTTCAATATTACTGTTTGTGACATGAAGGGAAATTAATATTCTGTTAAATGTCTAGGTATAAATGTGAAGACTTCAACTGTTCTACGGTAGCATGTAATTATACTCAGTTTTTCAAAACTTGACTGATTCCAAATGATGAGGCTTATTCAAGTCAAAATCCATGTTGTTCAAAAAGAAGTATCTCGAGAAATTATGTTGTTAGTTACCTAGTTTAGACGGTGTTTGGTGCTTCATACCGATCTAGCTAGTACTAGCGAATCGTCTTGATTATTGATAAGAAATTACCTATTTATGTCACTTAGCTACCGTTGTGCATTTTAGAGTTGTCAGTAAGGACTATTTAGTCAGAAGTTTCAGTAAACCTATTCTTATTGTCCCTTTCAAAATTTCAGTCATATTCTTTGACATCATATGTCATAATTTATTTTGTAAGGACAATTACTTGATTAGATTCTTATAGTGCAGAACACTTCATGTAGTCAAATCGTGATGAGTTTTTAAAGCACTACTTATACTGAAAAAGATCTATCAAAAATACATATGTTCGCTTCCTATGCATTATAGTAGCTGAAAGTAATTAAGTATTTTCGAATTTTGTGTGACCTTCAGTCGTCCTATATGCACCACCATCTTGAAATCATTCTTATTGATTTAGTAAACACAAGTTGCATGACCTTGAACTAGTTATGGAACTAGCGTTCTCTTATCAATATAACTTTTGTTGGCATATAAACACATTAATGACATAAAACCATGGCTCATGGGTTTCTCAATAAATGTAGGTAAAAGTTTGTGATTCCCACCCATGGGACAGTTTAAGTTTTTTAAGACAAAGCACTATTAAATCACCGATTAGTGAAAGACTAAGGAAGAATCATAGTCATAAAGGTAGAAAATAAAATAATCACCATCCAAAACTTGAAAATAGTCTGAGAAACTCAGTGATTTTAAATGATTAGGTAATCCTAGCAATCTTCATGTGATATACCTGAAACGGTAAATATGTCGTGATAATGGATCCTAACATCATGATTCATGCAGGTGAACACACGATAACCGAGAAGGTTTATAATAACATTTAACACAGTGAGAACGTCAGAGTTGGTGAATGAGAGAACAAATGATTAAAATGTGATGGCTCAGGTATGCATGTGGGGCCACCACTATATAACCCCTTGAATTTCATATAAAACATGCCAATCTCTTCCGAGCCCAAATGTATTCTTTATCACCTCTTGGCAGCAACCACTTACTGTCACGTAAGACAAGTTAGTATAGATAATGACGCGAATTTCACGTAAAGTCAAATAGATTAGGTAGTCACATCATAGAAACAATATACAGTTGCGGGAGAGATTTAATATTCTAGTAGTATAAACAAACATGCTAGTACCAACCTAGACCACCCAACTAACTAATAGGTCCTCAAAATAAATAGTTTTGCACTTCTTGGATGTTGATGCTGACCTCACTAGTTTTACTGGACACACCCCTAGCCAGGCATTCACACCAGATAATATCTAGATACACGATGCTCCTTCTCTCTTATAACAATCAGTCAGTTTGAACTATATACTTCCCGATTCAATGACCATTTCCGAGATGTACTTTGGGATCCTTTTATTCCTGAATTTTGGTTTGAGTGGGTTTTGATGTCCTCGATTAAAGAGATGTTACGGACAACAAGGTTGTCAGGCACTGTATGTCTGTGCTATTTTTATACGTTTGGTTTTCATTTAATGCTTAAGAAGTGTTAGTAATATCTAAATGTGACGTAAATAAAATATAATGAGTCTGGTTAATGTAATGTAAAATAAATAAACTACATTAAATAAATGAAAATTAGACGAGGTGTACATTTTGGACTTCCATATAAATGTGCTTTAACTGTGGACATTATTTTACAGCTTTGACACAAACCGGTCTTCAGATAGAGAGCAAAACGCATCAGTCAAATTATGGATTAATAATTATGTTCATGACAATAAATTACTTTGGTATTTGTACTAATCGATGACTCCCTCGTACATCATTCTGTGGATAATTTGAGTTCCAAGTACAGTAATTTCGATTGTGCTTACAGATTTCTTTCTCACCCAGTTACTGGACCATAAGTGACTATTAGAATACGAGTTGGATTGTCTTGGGCATCACTAGCGAGAATACAAAATATGACCTTCGGATCACTACAATAACTTCTGATAGTTCAAAGTAGATCTGAATTACGAGAGTGGATATCAGACCACCTTTACCTACCGGATACCTTCAACCTCTAATTTTCTAAAAATAATATCGTCAAATTGTAAACAATATATTTAATGACAAAACTACGCGAAGCATTTGAAAGTGAACATCGTCTTAATTTATATGCTTTAAAAGACGACTATGGAACTCTGGGGTGCTTATGTGAAATAATGCCTGACTAAATAAAATGGCCATTTTTGAGCAGATAATTTGCACGGCGGAGTTATGAGACATGAATTATGCTAACTACATATCTTTCCTCAGTTAGCTCCACTGAGCCCAAAGAACTAAATATTTTTGTGGTGATTACATATCTTAGTTTGACATCTGGAATATATCAAGGCTCAGTTATAATATGGAACTAAGTAAGTCTTTTCTGAACATAAAACAGATATACTAGTAAACTTTTAGGCAGATGGGATTAAATAACAACAGAGCTTTCTGACCTCACTAACAAAGAGAGCTTGAAATGCTCTTTCATCTTTTTTGCACGTCAGAGTGTAATCGTCAAATTTATCAGTGTAAACAGAAACTCAAGGGTTTGTATGAATCATTTTCTAATGAGTTTCTTTTTGTGTTTGTGGTGGACCGAAAAGTATATTAGCCGAGAAACAGCAATAAAGTTATTACTTCCAAAATCTAATGTAGCAATAAACAATGCATAAGATAATAACACAAACAAAAGTTTAGGGACATTACTTAAATCAGCAGGTTGGCGCGCGTCCTGTTGATCTAGGTACCAGAATCCACAATTATAGGTAAATAGTAATTCCAATGAGACGATATGGCTCCAGTAGTATATCCGAACGTAGAATGTAATGTGAATGTTACAACAGTCTATAAATATAGATGACAGTTAGTTAATCGTCCCGTTATCACATCCAAAAACATGATAGAACAAGAGACGCATGTATAAAAGTGTATTTAATTATGAGCAGCTAACAATGTCTTGCTATGTGGGATTCAAAAACGGAAGGAAGGATGTAAGTATCTGTTCAGCTCCCCCTAATAAATCAACAGAAGGGGTAAATGCAAATTCCTTCTGTTTTTAGCTGCAAAATTTGATGATAGGACAGCGTACCTAAATTTCGTGCAGTTGCATCTTATTTTTGGCTTTTCAGTGCATTTTCTATGTTGTCTATATTTCACTGACATACGACTCAATGGTTTGTTACTTCTGTTCTCAACTAGAGAGGATTGCTTAAGCCTTGTAATGATACTTTCAAATGAAGCATGAAATACTGTCTTTTCAGTGATTGAATAGACTAATATAAGTACACAAACCTCTAGTTGTTTATCGTTGAACATCGAGTTGGCGGCAGATCTGTACTATGCGCTATGTTTCCACAGTGCTTGGGAAACTGTAGTTGTTTTCTAGTTCTTCAGCACAATGCAACTGGCAACAGAGTGCTGAGTTTTACTATTAGTCCATCACGTCTTGTCCCGTAAGCAAGTATTACTTCCTCAGAGTCATCGGTATTTTTGAGCGGGTTTTACCACTTAATATCTGATCAAACCAATTCTTAACACATTTTCAAATCCTACTTTTTTGTAACTCGTCACATACAGTTTTTTATTAGCTTCAATGTAGTGGTGGTTAATTACGTATGGAAAATATCATTACTTTTTTTCAGTCCCGGTCAAATTTGAGAACATTAATTTCCTCGTGGTACTGTGCTGAAGGTATTTATAAATAAATTTAACACACTGATGTTCATCACTGTAAAAAGCCAAAAATGGCGCCTCACGTGAATGTCTCGTCGTTTTAATCGTAGCGAACGTTAGCTGATATTTGTGCAAACATCTAAACCAAAAATATTTTTATCTCTACTGTATTTGTTGTAAAAATCCCAACTCTACATCAAATATGGGGTCCGGGGTTAATGCAAGTAAGGCTTATAGGTATAGTGGGACTACTACTGTCGCCCGTCTTAAACAATAAAGATCTAGATCCTTGTTTCTTAATCCTCTTCTATGTAGAGAAATGGCTCATTCCTCTTAAAAAGAAATGTGTAGGGTCATACAGGCAGTATATAATCAGCTTTGTGAGGTATCAAACAACTGGCATTCATTCCACTTGCAGGGATCTTGCTATCAAATATAAAGCTCATATTAGCATCAAACTAAGCAGACTTTGGGTTGTCAGAGCCTACCTCATAATCGCAGTCGTTCTTACTCCGCAGGTCGCAAACTGTTCATGATATCCATGGACAAGAAACATTTCGTTAGCTTTCAGTGTGCTCCTGATATAAACCAGCAGGGTATATTTTGAAGAAACTCGAATTAATTGAAGTATTTCCAAAGTTTAGAAATATTCTTTAGGCCAGTACTCATAAACTCACCCTCTCAACCAAAGACAATTGATGTCGTTGAGTTCACTAGAAATTAGTGCAATAATATATAACTTTCTCCAGAAGTATTAAGATCAGTTAAGGTAAACGTAGACCTCTATGGGGACATGATAACAATTTAAAGTGGGTTTATCAAGCCACCTTATAGCTGATGATCTTATGACTCTTTAGCAACGAGATTTATTTTGGATCGCCTTTCTGGTACTTAAGAAACTCAACCCCATTTGACACCGAGGGGAAACTAGGAGCAAGGGCATCAAGTTAGTGACATCTACTCCTTTAAATTCAGAAGATCATAAAAGTCAACCTGCTAAAGACTTACGCCACTTGAAAACTTTTTTTTTCACAACAGCTAGGCGATGGGTGTTTCCTACTGATTCACTGTCAATACAACGATTGAACGGAGTGTACTTTCGATTATTGATAAATTCAGGGTTTATAGATGATCAGGACCCACACGTATTGGGTTTTTGTGAAGCCCAGGTTGCTATTAGTAAATGTCATAGTTGATTTTACATAAACGATCGCAGGCTATTTCACAAGGATCGATCAGATACCGTAGTTAAAGTTGTACTTTGCATATCTTCCTCACCTCCAAACTTTCCGGTGAATTCGGAGACTAGATTGTGAAATTCAGCTCTGACATGACGGAATAAGATGGTATTATTTGGACCAATTCTTTTTATATCAGTTCGCTATGAATTCCGGCCAAGGTGACATGTGTGAACTTCATTCAGTATGACGTCTTAGAGATGGCTTGTGACGTTATCAGACATGGCTCTGAACAGAAGCCAGTGGCGAGAAATAAACTAAAAGAATCCTTGCTGGGTTGTATCTTTCTTAATTGAACTGCTTCTCCCATCATTATTATTATAATTATTATCATCACTTCACTCCCATACACGAATTTATATTTATTTTTGTTCTTTTTTTATTATACTTTCCTATCCGTGTCTAATATATCAAGGGGATGACATATCGACCAAATACATTTTGTGTTTAGAGCTCGAAGTCTTCTTTTACAGAAATTTCTGGTCCTCATCGGTTTAGGGTCCTGTCTGTTAGGCTTTCTAGTCTTCTATAAATGTAGGAAAACTCTCCATCAGTATGTAAATAAATAAACTTTATTTGTGTCATTTATTCAGACAAAAATTGGTTAACCCTTTAAGGTCTTGTCATGTTAAATTTAGTTGGATCTAAGTAATTTCAGTTTTACTTTCCTTTGATTTAGAATCTACACCGAATAGATGTGAGGGAAATTCGCACAGCTAAGTTCGTGTGTGAGTTATTAGACATGAATATCTTATCCTTTGATTTTGTCAGTCACACACCTACAGCGTAGGACCAGCACATATGCATCAGTCCAAGTAACCATACCTCATTGAAACAACGAGATGAACGCCAAATTCATAGAAGTAGTCACTTCAATGATAGTAATATATAAAAGAAAGATTGTGTAGTGGTTGTTTAGTCTTGTGGTAGTTGAGCGTGATGTTGAGTAGAACACATCCGACACATTCATTAGGTTTATCTAAATTTCTGAAAGTGTTGAAATTAAGTGATTTTGGTTCTTTAAAATTTTCTTTGAAACGGTGCTTATTTTCAAAATGACATCAATCCATGAAGTCACTAACCTATGGCCATTACCATGCAGTGAAATCTCAGCTTCCTGATTAAAGGGAATAAGATAGACAATCAGTCGAGAAATTTTAATAGTGTAATTCAAATCGACTTTATTGGAGCAGCAACATCCACCATTTGTTTCCATGTATTTATTTATTTAAACATAAATATTGGCACAAGGAAGCACCAAATATGTATGCGCCACACAAATTCGATTCCTGTAAGGGCTAGAATACTGCTAGGACGCCCAAACCAAAGTAGGTGATTTTCTTAGGGGACTACTGTCTGAACCTTTGACCTAAAGGTATAATTCACAAGGCAATTAGGCGACGTTAGATGTGGTCTTATGGTAGCTGGTGACCAACAATAGGTTTGTACGCCACTTGTTCCCTCAGGACCCTGGAGCCCATGTGCACGATTGGTTTGGAATCAGGGTTTTCCAACTCCCCTAGGTGGACCCTCCGTGTACACTCAAAGCACTGGACATTCGCTTTTCGTCCTCTCAGTTTCGCAAACAACACCCTTGTTGCTGCAAAAAGGCAGTGAGTTGGACTTCCATGGCGATGGCTGTATACATGTGGCCATATGAGAGCATTTCAAGAGTGAGAGTGGACCATCCCCACCCTCGGTCATACCTCGGCATTCCGGGGCCATCTCCCCGTACATATTAGAATAAGACTACTCCGGTTTCATTATTTCTAATTTTAATCCTTCACTTATATGGGTATCACTTTTTCATCCCTTTCTTTTACCTCATATTAATTTAATAAAAAATATTTACTAATCACAATGGTTTTTCCTAGTGCATGCAGTCACCATAGCTACGTAATTCTGTATGATAATTCGAAAAATATCTTAATAAAAGAAGCACTTGGATATATTGTATTCTGAGTATATTGTTCTGTAAGTTAAGAGGAGGATGACTGATAGATTTAAGATAAACCGTCCTTCCGTTTTTGTCTTCTCGTTCTTCACAAATATAACTACAAAATATCCAAGTTTAGCTTGTCCGCCAAGTTACTCTTTATTATATCCTTTAGATATCTCTATTAATGACGGGAGTTCGGAGAGTCGCAATAACTGGTTTGGGGGTCTGTACACCTTTGGGTTTCAGTGCATCAGAATTATGGGCGAATCTTTTGAAAGGCTCTTGTGGAATATCAAAGACGCTTGGTATTTTTGTGTTGATTTTCATGACCCATAGATGAATTTTCTTTTTTGCCTAGTCAGGTTTTTGGGAGCATCGATAATCAAAAATTGGAAGAACGAAAGTCTTTTGTAGAGTCTGAAGTCTATAAATCATATGGTTTGGATATTTCTAATGATTGGAGATCTGTGTCACGTGCTAGTACTCTAGGTATTATTGCAACTTATGAAGCTTTCAAACAGGTGAGGTGGAAAGCAAACTCAGGTTATCGAGCAGGTATGTTTTTAAATGACCTAATAAGATAACATTCACGGGGTACGATAACTTCATTCTGACGTTTTCTCATTAGCTCAGAGAATTTCCTTCTTATCATTTACTTAAAATGTCTATTAATTCGACCGGCACGTGCATTCGATGTTTTAGTAAAACATGAATCCCAATTACTTTTTGATATATTTAACCGAATTATTCGAGTCACTTCCATTTTACAAAGGCCAGGACACTCACTTAACGAATGAAGTACTGTATATCATCATCTCTTTATCAGCTATTTATGATCTGTGATTTTTAAACGCCAGAACCACAGGAAAGGTTCACTATGGTCTGATTTCTGAAATAGATAATTGTTATCAGTTCGGTTAAGAAATTATTACCATAGTTTGGTTAGAACAATAGAAACCCTTATATATTTAGGAAGGTATTTTAAGATATTGTGATCGATTATTGTGTTCGATAAAAGGTCCCCAAAAATCAGCAGGGGTTGTATAAAGACATTATGGAGCCGAAAGTATGTGGTTACGTAGTTAAATCAGTAGATAAATTGATGGTAATGAAGAAACAAAGTGTATAAGAGCGTGGTTAGCTGAATTCACTGAATTGAGAGCAAAGCTTCGATATGAAATGAAGAGGAGTTTAACTGAAATCTGATTTGATAATTCACGAGAAGAGATCTAAATTCAAGCTGTTGGCACCAATCACTGGATTTTTCCTTGGACACAAAAATCTGTCTGTTTACTATAGCAAGTCTGATAAGACTTGAGCTCATATGCTTGCCCAGTATTCGTCAGACGATGTTTACTCTCAGGGAATACAGATCTTTCAAAAATTGTTCATTTTTTATCTTAACATTCTAACTGCTGTAACAGATGCATAATCTAGGGAATATGTTTGCAGTTAACAAAAATGCTGCATTTCAATTTCTGATCAGGTTGACTGTCATGCTCCCACAGGTAGATTTTAATTAGTGGGGAGTTCGGTCAAGTATATCAAGTGGATATGATACAAACTTTTGTCGTGTTCTACGTTAATTATGACCGAATAACTAACTACCTGTGTAACGTCATCACTTTTAAAGATTAAGAATGGAAAATGTTTATATTTGACTGTAGATCGATTCATTTTATTGTATTCAATAGTTCCGTGTCTATCAATAAATTTCTGTAGGTATATGTTGTTACTCGAGCACTTTCCAATTTTTAACATTGCTTTTCAAAAGCGATCGCTGATGTATATCATTTTAGCTGATTTTATCACTATCACCCCATGTCTACCTGAATAAAATAAGCGAAATCAGTCTAGTTTAGCAAGTCCCAATGGAGTGTTGGGCTTGCTCAAAGCGATAATTGGGTTGCTGGTTTAAATCTCATCCCACTCACTGCGGTTCGAGTATCTAGGTAGATTAGCATACATACATGAATCTGCACATGGTTAACTATTTGTATTTATTAGATTATAATTATACCAGTTATCTTGATTGATAGGTTAATAATAAGTCATAATTACTAATTCATTCGTATATTGTATTTCAAACATTTCTATAGATATTCTAAGTTATTTAATGGCTCGAGAGTTTCTTGCTAGTAATTTTGTAGTATAACTTTAGGTGTTTGCTTTGGAGTGGGGTTGGACGGTCCAAATGAAGTTATGAATACATCATCAGGAATTTTAGCCAAGAAATACTCTATTATTGGGCCTCATGCTTTAACAAGAACACTCGGTAATATCCCAGCTGCCATAATAAGTCGAATTTGGGGACTACGGGGACCGTGTATGACAGTCAACACCGCATGCGCTGCTGGCCTACACTGCATTGGCGAAGGCTTCCGTATGAGTAAGCAATTTTTAAGCAGTTTCAAGTGTACAATCACTTTGTAACCGCTTGCTAGGATTGACAGTTTGTCACATGTACTATACCTGTTAAACGATGATTCTATTAAGACTTTATAGATATTTGATAACCAATCACTGCAGAATATCGCTGGTGTGTATGTTAAAACAACTAAGCAAGCAATTTATTTAACCGTATGATCACCATGGTTAAAACATGTAAATTCACTATCATCATCTTATACGTATGTATATATGCGATAATATAGACAGATAGATGATGGGTAGAGTAGAATTAAAAGGCTTCAAATACGGCTACACTAAAATATAATTGCTTGTTCGAAAGATTTGAAGAACTAAGTCTCCTTACATAAGACCACTGAAAAAACGTAAATTAGAAATTAAAATAACTTGTAATTTAATAACTGAGAGTTATATCCACTTGTTTGCTTTCACTATCAATTAATCGCTCGTTTATTTTCGTTTCATATTTCACTAGTTCAGAACAACGAAGCTGACTTGGTTGTTACTGGTGCATGTGAATCTCCTTTGAATGCCTGGGTAATCGCTGCTTTTTGTCGACTACGTGCATTATGTACACAATTTAATGATAATCCTGAAAAAGCCTCTCGTCCATTTGATTCCTTGCGAAAAGGATTTGTGTTATCTGAAGGTGCAGCTACAGTTGTATTACAGGCATGGCCTCCTCCAGACAGTTTCTTAATGGAATCATTTACGGAAACACCAAAACCGATAGCTGAAGTTATTGGTTTTGGAAGGTCTGGTAAGTTTTATTCCAATTTCCTGAGATGTGTGATTTTTTAGCACTTATCATAGGATTTTGCATCTCTATTGTCTTGATGGGAATTCATCTATGACTTTTTCCTCTTACGGAACTAGTTCCCTCTTAATAAATCGCTTCAAATCTTTATAACTGGTTTATCCATATGTTTATATTTTCGTCAGGAAAAGCAGATACTCAGTAAAAACGTATCCGAAATATTGCTTCCTGCTTTTTTTTAACGTTGTCCTAATGGCCATACTAAGACGACTATTCATCATTTAGTAGTAACAAGGTGGATTTGTGTATGCGATGAAATGCACCTTTTTAATACTAATGATAAATACTTCTCTAGTCTGTTCAACCTCAGAAATAAATATGAAATATTTATTAAACTGCTTACAAAGTGATAATTGATTGAACTCCACTTATAAGAGTTTAGTCTGCAATTTTCTAAATTACATGGTTCCAGGTTAGTTTTGACTGCAACATTTATTTTACTTACAATTAGCTGATCTATATCTGACGCACAACACAAGCGACAGAGTTGTACAAATAAGTTATACTTAAACACCTTTCAACTTTTATTCTGTACTTTAACAGTTTTTAAATTTTAGGAATGATACTACATTGATAAATTGAATTCATGTAACTCATTTACTAGGTACACTTTTGTGTACTTGAATTTAAGCCACATTGTTTATTGGAGGCCTAGTTATACTACTGGGCTTTTTTAATCGAATTAGATAAAAAGACATATGAACTTGCGACTTGTTAAAAACCGAGTGTTTAAACTATCAAGCCACCACTTCAGAACAGTATATTTATTGGAAGTGAATAATTTTTCAAGGAAAGTAAATATAGATGATTCATAATATGATCTATCGAACGAGTAATCTTGATATTTACTCTTATAGAGTGTATATATTATTAAATTTTGATTCATTTGATTTTATTGTCTACCTGTATATTGCAACTGTACTCTTACTGTAGTGAATAGTGCACGGGTGGGGACAATCGAATGTATTTGATACAAAATTACAGAACTTGTTAATAAAATCTAACAACCATATAGTAAATGCTCAATTTGTAAAATGACCACCAGTTGTCCCAAAATGGCCCAGACTTCATTGTTCTTGTATTTTCATACAAATTGCATTCTGATTCCATTCTTTACTGTTCGATCCTCTTGTCTCTCTGCTCCCAGACTTTCTGTTTACGATTAACATCATATAATACTTACATCAATATAAGTAGCACACACCACATTACCACTTTTCATAACATACAGGTTACTTTATTTTTTTCCCTTAAAAATTTGTTTTTTTATATATAGGAGATGCACATCATTTGGTTGCACCTGATACAACAGGAAATGGAGTACTTCGAAGTATGCTAAATGCCTTCAGAGACTCAAAACTTAAACATTTCAATCAAGTAAGAGCTGTTTTTGAATAGTTAAAATATTAATTTATCTTCATTTATTTAATGTTTTCTGGAACAACATTCTATTTGCATTTATAGTTCAAACCAGTGAAAACAAAAGTAATTAAAGTTGACTAAATTTGTTTCTACTTCCAGGGGATACTTTTAAATGTGAGTTTGTTTATGGTAATTGTGATTGAATCATATTGAAAGAAAAAAGACCGAACCAATTTATTATGAAATTAGTTAAATAAGAATTAACTATAATAACCATATAGCTTTTTCTTCTGATGTAATTGTCATTCTCCATTCAGAAAATTCACGGTGCTGCTAAAGTTAGAAAGAACTTGTAGAAAACTCTTTAATCATTGCCGTCCAAACGCGTTCGTCTGATTCTCGTTGTAAAAAGATATTCAGTTATACATTCTTTACTATTTGATTTATGAAAGAAATCTTTAGTTATTACTAGAATGTTGCTCGAGGTCCAACTATTTGTCTGTGGGTTCGTACGCTGCCTTATTTGGATTGATTCAAACAACTAGATGTAATCATGGTTTCTGATTAAAAGCATATAGTCTAAAGCTGTTTACACTAACTTTTAATTGGTTATTGAGTTGGACTATCACATCATACCCATTCTATATTACGTCAGTTTTACCAGTCATTTATCATAAACATAGTTAAATACAGTGTTATCTGTGATTAACTCACTATTACTTTTCCAGTCTTTTAATTTCACGTAGTTTGTTTACGAAATTGAAAGAACGAAAAGCGAATGTCCAGCGCTTTAATCAGTTTGGTGGGTACGGAGGATCTACCTTGGGTAGTTGGAAAACCCTGATTCCAAACCAATGGCACATATGGGCTCCAGTACTCTGAGGAAACAAAAGACGTATAAACCTATTGTTTATCACCGGTAACCATGGGCCTGAATCTCCTAACGGGCGTCTAGGCACATAGGAGAGTTATATGGGTGGCTGTTGAGGATATCTTGGTCGCAAAATGGATTACGGTGACCGCCTACTGCAACTTTGCTCAGCCTATAACCTGTTTCCGGCCAGAACCAACTTCCGGTACAATCATCGCCGATATGCTACCTGGTGTCCTCCCTCTGTATCTGAAACATGGACTCAGATTGATCATATCACAATCAGTTACTGCTGGTGTTGCTGTGTACAAGATTGCCGCTCCTTTTGTAGTACTTATCTGGACTCTGATCATGCCCTTGTTTGCGACAATCCTATCTTACGTTTCAGTGGCCAACAAATTCATCATAAAATGATCGATGTCACAAAATTGGTTGCAGCGTCTGTTGCAACTAAATATCAAACCCAGCAAGGTTCAAGGCTAAGTATTAGCCCATCGAAAAGTGTAGATGAGCACTGGGTGCAATTGCATGACGCCATGAAAATGGCGAGTAAAGTCGCTTGCGACTTCTCGGAACGTCCTGTTTATAAGCACCAGGTTTCCACAGGTTCCTTACAACTCATTGAAATATGCTGGTCTACTTCGAGTAACCGCGGGTTTGACCATGAACGAAGGTTTTCGCGTGACAAAATTGTGCAAAGCTTGCTTAAGGACCGAGAAGCCCGGTGGTTGGAGCATTCTAACGAGTTGGAAACAGCATCTGCTTTTGGTAACTGCCGAAAGGTCTTTCGACTCATCCGAGTCACTTGCAGCAAGAAGTCTGGTGTGAGTGAAACAATCTCATGACGGGATTTCGGTCAGTAACATCTATGGACGTCTCGGACGATGGGCAGTGTTTTCCGAAGGGCAGTCCGACTGATCTACTGCTCTGGCGGCATCGATCAAACTTTCCTGCCCTCCATGGCCCGTGACGAACTGGTCCACCTAACGAGGCAGAAGTTCACGAGGGATTCTACCTTGGATTTTTGACATTTAAGCTATCTTATAGAAGTATTATGTCTTAAGCTTACTACTTAATTGTGATTTAGAATTAACTGGATGAATCAGTAAAAACATATTATATGTGAATACTCCAGATACATTTGATTCGATTACAACTGACTGATGAAGGAAGTAGACGGTTGTACCAAAAATAATAGTTATCCGTTTAAAGAGTTCATAATAAAACGATAACTTACCATCCAGTTAAAACTTAGCTACTCTGGCTATACAACATTTATGATGCCCAGTCATCATTGCTTCTACATTCAATGGATCAGTTTTTACTTCCTTGAATATATCGCGAATATAAAAGTGGGATCTCATATTCGCTATTATTGTCCGACGAGTGATGAAATGCTAAAGCATACTTCGATTTACGAACCTATTTTTGTATAACGTCTCTACGGCTTTTATAACTAGTACTATCTCCTGACATTGAAATTAGTTAGAAGAATTTAAGTGGCTTCTCGTACCATAAAATAACGTACTGAATACATATCAGGTAGGTTAAGTTCACTTCTGTCGACCCATCATTAGTGTCCTAATATAATTCAACTCAATGACTTAATGCAATATTAGACATCGTTCAAAATCGAAATCAGTGACGAACCTTATTTAGTTTAGTAAGAAAAAGCAAAATATGTTTTGTTTATAGTATTTCTTGGTCTTTTTTATTTGTTGATTTTATAATTACGAGATAGTTTTTCATTTTCTATTTCTTCACTCAATTATTTGTTATGAAGCCCATTGCCTAATGCTCTTTTTCTGCCATGCTATTCTGTACGGATAAAAGTAAATGAGATACTTTAATTGATGAACGGTACTTTGTACGGATGATGTTGATTTTTCTAGAACTAAACTCTTACAGGATTTTGAAAAATAGCAAGAACAGACATTCTAGCAGAATAGCATGAATTCATTTTTATTTCGTTGGTTCTCGTCAGCTGCTTACAACCTGTGATATTTAAAATCATAATTATATAATGGGTTTAAATTACTTACATGAAAGAGTTTGATTTGAAGTTATATTGAAGACATATTCGTATAGTATAGCAAGGGTGTAAATAAATTTAATAGACTGAATATTGTAAATATATATCTTATGTAAAAGAATATTGTGACAACAGTTCAAACGGCTAGAAACAAGTAAACATTGATAGGAATAAAATGAGTAGAGTTCAGTTGATAAAATAAGATAGTTGGAATAAAACTCGATGATGTAATAAGTGCAAGAAAGAGTTTAAAGAAAAAGAAAAAAATTAAGATACAGGAATATTAGTCATCAAGGCAAGGAAAGATTAATAACCATCTCCTTTTGAACACACAAATCAGGTTTTTGGCGTCTGATAGCAACTGCTTCAGCAAACTTCAGAAGACTGGAGTTTGGCTGCTTACTAATCACCTTGAACGATTGTAGGGTATCGATCTGATGTCCTGTCTCGAGGTGTTTAGCGATTGCACTATTTAGAGTCTTTCTTTCTCTTGTTCTGAGGCCTTTTGGAACATGTTCAAAAAATCTGAGATATGCCCTCCTTTCTGTTCGGCCAATGTAGCTGCTTTGGCAGATACAAGTAAATTTATAAATACAATCGGCGGTTACATGAAAAGGATGCTTATCAACCTCTGAATGAGTTAATGAACATGTTGTTTTATACAGAATTAGAAGTTTGACCGCCTGATAAGTTCTGGCTAGCGCAGTATTCAGTCTCCTGTTGATTGTGATTGCAACATCATAGCCTTTGAAGTCAAGATTTATAGTTATTGGTTTCTTATTGACCATAATTACTTCAGTATTGTTTTCTTTACGCTTTTTATATTAGTCAATAAACTTTTGTGGGTAAAAGTTGTCTCGTAGGCATTTTTAAATATCACAGGTTGTAAGCAGCTGACGAGAACCAACGAAATAAAAATGAATCCATGCTATTCTGCTAGAATTTTTGTTTTTGCTCTTTTCAAAATGATAAAGGGAACTATGTGTATGAAATCTTACAGGATTGTTGAAAGCGACTATCGGTGATTAAACCTTACAATCGTCAATGATTTTCTAACGATTTATTGTAATTTAATATTAACTAAACATTATGGATCAATGTAAATCCGAAATTAATTATCGTCTATCGATCAACACTTTTATTTGACACATTTCTACACGGTATGAATTCGTATTTCTCGGGGTGTATACATTTGCTATTAATTTGTAAGTACACTCGTAAGCAAGAAACCGAGTTCCATAACTTCCTGCTCATTGGTAATTAATCTTCAAAAAAACCGAAAAAATGTATTTTTCGTTTCATATGCTGCAGAATTATTTACATATTACTGTGTTTCATATTTATAATTATTAATTAACTTAGTTTTATAATCTTTTTAATTTTTTTCAGATTGGACACATAAATTGTCATGCAACATCCACCCCTGTTGGTGATTTAACAGAGCTGAGCGCTATTGCACAAATGTTTGGTGAATATTTTAATCCTCAATACCATACATCTGTTGTAATCAATTCAATTAAAGGTCACCTTGGTCATTGTTTGGCAGCAGCCGGTGCCATAGAAACCGTGTACGCTGCTTTATCTGTTAATCAGAATCGAATTTGTGGAAACCTCAACCTGCATAATCCAATCTCAATTTCTGAGTTGTTGGAGGTTCTAAATTCTAATTCCAGTTCTTCAACTAGTATATCTTCTAATGAAAAGTGTATAGATCTGTTTAAGAACTATGCTGTACTTCCTAGACACGATCAAACACAAGTTACGTGGCCCGATAGTCATCGACGTATTGTTATGACTAACTCATCCGGATTCGGTGGGACAAATGGAACTCTTTTAATTTCAGAATGGACGGATTAGTATGATATGTATTTCACTGTATTTTATAGATTCTATCCAATAATTTTTCATCAATGATTAAGTCTTTTCAGTGTTTGACAGCGGGGTTAATGTTTGTTTGCATATATTTAATTAGTGAATGCAGATACTGCTGAGTGTGAATTGGTTTACTTGCCAGATAAATCCAAAATCAAGAAAATAATTAAGACAGTCATTCAAATTTTCTAACTGCTTTACTTAGATGTACAAAAGAAATTAGATTGTAATCTCGTACACTTAATCTTGAAAGCAAACGTGAACATCTCGGTCAGATTAAGATTTGACGAACAACGTGAATGCACTCAGTTTTATTAGTTCTTTATCAGGTGAAAACAACTTGGTTTGCTATTTATCTTATTTTGACAATTTGTCGTTTGATTGTTCGACTGTTTCTTTATAAATCTTTTCTCTCTCCACAAGTATTCATGTCCTTTTCGTAACTCATCAGGAAAGTAGCTAACAAAAAGTACGATTAATCCTAGCAACAGATGTAAGATTACTTAGTTGTTATGTTGAAAAGTATGAAATATAGAGATTCATCTGCGATATCTTGTTAAGTATTTTAATGAAGTTGTAGAATAGGTTAGTTAATGTTTGAAATCTCAGGTTACTTGATCGAACAGTTCAAAATGATTCGAACATACATGTTATTTTAAGTAACTTTAAATCAAACCAGTTCCTACAAAAAATTTAGTGATGGATATAGATTAGTCGTCACACACCAGACCACAAGGGCTGATGAGACTTCCAAGATAAGTGAAGCGATCGACACACTCAACTACTTCACTCCCTATCACTAGTTCGGGTGTCGATGTAACCCAATCCTGAAGCATCATTTTGCATTTTGAGGGAGAGAATCGCATCCCGAACATGCTTGCATTGTTGCTTAGAGTGGTCAGAAGACTTTGCATTTTGTCAGCGTCTTCACCAAATAGAACTATGTCTTTGGCATATTCTAAGTCAACAAGTGAACCTCCCGGTAGAAGTTCAACCCCTGGAAATTTAGATGAGGAGAGTGTTATCTCTAAAAGTACGTCGACCACAAAGTTGAACAAGAATGGGGAGAGTGGACAGCCCTGACGAACACCACTTGATGTAATCAATTCTGATGACAGTTCGCCATGAGCTCTCACTCTACCAGTTGTGTTCGAGTAGAGAGCCTGAATAAGGTTAATGTACTTCTGTGGTGCTCCTTTCAGTGACAAACACTGCCTTAGAACCTCACGATCAACAGAGTCAAATGCCTCCTCAAGGTCGAGAAATACTACCATTGTGGGGCGTCTGAATGTGTGTCTGTGTTCTAGAACCTGACGTAGTGTGAATATCTGATCTATACAACCACGTCCAGGTCGAGAACCGGCCTGGTTTTCTCTAATCTGCTCTTCACGAGCTTTGATTAGGCGTCGAAGTATTATTGAAGCTAATATTTTAGACACTATATTAGTCAAACTGATTCCTCTATGATTGTCACAAGAGGACTTTTGTCCTTTCTTATAGACTGGCACAATCAGTGATTGAGACCAGTCAGATGGGATTACGTCCAGTTCCCAAATTCTACCTAAGACCTCGGTTAATCTCATTGCTAATACTGGACCACCATCCTTAAAAATCTCAGGAGTAAACCTGTCAGGGCCTGCTGCTCTCCATCGTTTCAGATTTCCTATGGCTTTTTCAACTTCGTAAAGGGACGGAGGACTTACATTAACTTGCCATTCAGGTTGACAAGAGATCGTGGGAAACCGAAGTGTGGCTGAAGGCCAGTTGAACTGATCCCTGAAGTGTTCTGCCCATCGATCCAATCTCCTGGATTGAGAATGAATAATATGTCCATCTTTCTCTGAGATTGTTTCGCTAACGGTCGGGTTCCTAATTCCGGTTTCCTTAACGAGTCTGAACAATTGTCTGCTATTACCTATTGCCGCTGCCTTTTCCATCTCTCTTGCTTTCGCTACCCACCACTGTTCGCGATCATTGCGTAAACTTCTTGTCAGCTTGCGCTTAAGCTGACTCCGCTCTTCACTATGTTCAGAGCCAGGTGGAATGAGTTTCCGAGCATCTATCAGTGCGATAGATGCTGCTGAGATCCAGTGTTGCTCCCTAACCTTCTGGTTTACCTTACTAGCAGATATCACTGCTGTTTCCACAGCTTTTCGGATATCGTTCCATGCTGCATCGGGGTGGGCATCGCATACATGGCTGCCTAACTGTTTTCCTAGTTGTTCCTGAAATATACTCTTAGCTTGATTATCATTAAGTAGGCCCCTAAGAGGTTTCCTTGAAGCGTCTTTCCTACGTACAGTAAGACGCAAGCAAATACGCGCTCGCACTGGAGCATGATCTGAATCTAAGCATGTGCTCCAGAATGAGCGACAGTCTTCTATCGAGCCCCTCCATCGGTGGCTGATAGCGATGTGATCTATTTGGGTCCAACGTTGGGACGAATTAGGGGGTCGCCAAGTTAAAAGATGTTTTTCCTTATGCTTAAAGTTAGTATTTGCAAGGAACAGGCGATTATCTGAGCATAGCTGCAACAGACGGTCGCCATTATCTGTTCTTTGAGCCACGACACCATAAGATCCACCTAGGTGTCTTTCCCTATCGCTCAGTTTACCTACTTGAGCATTAAAGTCACCGGCCACTATTACTACGTCCGAGCGCTTAGCTTTTCGGAGAAGGTCGGAAAGCTTTCTGTAAAACTCATCTTTTACATCATCTGAGCTGCAGTCAGTGGGAGAATAGGCAGAAACGACGAAGAGGCAACGACGGGTGTCCCTATCTTTCCGGATTCTTACTGTTCTGTTCAGTCGGACAGCGCACAAACGGCTGTCTACTGGGATCCACTCTAAGAGAGCTAATTCTGCCCTAGGGCTCAATGCTATACCTACGCCGGCGAGTCCACGGGAAGCAGAATCAGGGCTTCCAGATACACGAAGCGTAAATCGAGTCGGTTCTTTATTTTGGCATGGTGAGGTCAAATGAATGACGCTACTCGGATCTTGTATGCGCGTTTCGGAGACGCAGCACACATCGATGGCACGAGATTCTAAAGTCCCAGCTGAGGAAGCCTGTTGTCCTATTTGGCACAGTGTTCGTACGTTAAAAGCTCCTACGTGTAGTTTAGAGAGTGGTTTCAGGAGACCAGGAATAGCATTCCACGTACTCGAATCGTTTGCCCTAGCGGTGTGAGGTGATAAAGAGACGTGAGGAGGGTTGGTCATGGAGATAAGAGAGGTATTAGGAGGTGTAGGAAGGATTTGAATGTGACCAACTTGGTCCCGTGTGCTGCTACGGGTATGAGGGCTGATGTCACTTCCCGGCTGCCCACACCGTGTAAGGGTATTTCTTGAGGAACCTGAAAAGGAAATTGGATTAGTGTTGGTCTTGACGACCTGGGAGCGTGACCGCAGAGCCCAAGGGACAACTGCTTGGGGCCGGTTGCGCACGGCCTTTTTGTGGAAGGTTTTTGACGTGTTAGCTCCGTGCTTCAAAGGGCCTTACCGCCGGAGACGGAAATCCGTGAGGTAAAGTGAGGTGTGACATTTTTAGGGTCGACCTTTTCTAACCCCACCTCTCCTTGTGGGAAGGCAGCATCGCTGTCATGCTGGTTGTCTGAGGGAAACACCTTACTGCTGTCACACCTCTGTACAGTCAGCAGTACGACTTCGCCCTCAGACCTTGAGTTGCTGCTTCTAGTCTTACCGTTCACCAATCGACCTGCCTGGCATGGTAGAACCTACAGGAACATATGTTCCAGCCAATATAGCTCGGTTGGGTCATCACAATAGGCAAGCCCGACCACCGCGTCAAGGTAGCAGCTTCGGTCGGGAATCGATTAATGTTAAACCACCATTGAAAAACGGGAAGCACTGGACGATGGTGGTCTAACATTCATCGATTAATGATCTCAGTCAAAACACTAAACAATCTTCACAACCCCATACTGCTAAAAACAATAAAGTAAACAGGATGCCCAGTTAATTATATATATATATATGCTATTAAAAAATCTCGTCAACAAGGTGATCTACAGTAGGTCAGTTGCGCCCTGAATAGCTTGGTAGTAACGTCTCAGACTGTAAAGTTGGTCGATCGAAGTCCAAGTTCTCCACGTACCATCAGTTCCCTTAAGGCTGCAGGTACTTTTTGCCTTAGAGATGTCAACAAAAAGCATTCCCTTGGAGCCTGACTGTTCTGGCCTCAAGCTGGTCGATATCAAAAATGGACTTCTAATGACTTGTAGCAGGTTGAGACAATGGTCTAGCATTTTCTACTTAAGCTGTTATAACATTGACCAAAACCCACAGATAATAGTTATCTGACGTTTAGCAAGTCAGAAAATGAAAAGATTCAAGTCTGAGACGCATCTAATTGTTCTTTTACAATCGTCATCAAGTCTATATTTGAAATATTACTTCGAGTACTAAAGACTAATCCAATACTCCGACCTGTATGTGACTTTTCCTGTGGCAAATTTTATGGGATTGTATTCTTTTGTCACTTTTTGAGATTATACATATATACACAAAATCATACGAGCCTTAGAAAAATTCAGTTGATTGAATATCATTATTGTTTATAGCAATTATTATAATAAGGTTAGTTTCAGGTCATGAAATTTTCAAGACCGAAAATTCGTCATTCTTATTGGTTTGCTTTATTAGCCAATTACCACGATACTTTTAACCTATTTCAATATAGAGAAATATGTAGGAGGATTAGAGAAGAAAGTAAGCATTAACCAACCAAAGAGGATTATATAACTCAATATTATCCATCTATTTGTCAATTCTCAATAAACAATGTATATAGCTTATCTTTTCCATAATTTTATCAATGGTCAAACCACCAACGAAAAACGATCGAAAATTTCAATATGTAAATGTATATTGTATAAGTTATTTAATTGATGAACAGGTTACAGTAATCACATGTTATAATAAATGCATCAATTTAGTGAATTTTTACTATGCTAATCTAAGGTTATTGTTTAATGAACACTTTACATTTATCCATTATGGAGAAACAGAGATTTCATTCGG